GTGGTGGCGGCGGGGGCAGGACCGGCCTGGCGCCGGTCCAAAGGCCTCGGGGGGGCATCTGGCGTCCGGGCCTTAGGTTGCCTACCCCGATCTATGAGATTATCACATCAGCCCCTTTCTTGTTGCAGTCACAAAAGTGAAATAAAATGGTAACATACATATTATAGAGCAGCCACCACCTCAACTTTTCCATTTGCAGAAACGGGGCTGCTGCCCTCATCATGTTCCCTTTATGCCCTCACCCTTAACACCACTGTGACTTCCTTTCTAAGCCTTGAGGTTATCTTTTACCTTTCAACTATAGAAGGTCCCTTGTCAATGACACCAGCCCAGCATCTATGTTTTATACACTTTTCCTAAATGTATCAGGGCTAGGGTACCAAGTGTCTTCCTCTTATAAGTTTAATAACTTAGGTAAGCTGTTTATGTTAGGAAAAGCACATGGATGTGACCACAAGTTGGAGCTGTAGGATAAGAAATGCAAGCAGCTCAGCTCCATGGGCAGGTGTGTGTGTGTAGTAATTGAAAATATACACACCTGAGATGCCTGATGTAACAGGCATTGTTAACTGCCTATAAAAAGGAGATGGGAATTATCTCCAGTGTGGGTTTGTTGTGGATGGTGGTTGGCAGAGCAGTTTGTTGGTTAGGAGAAAGATTTATGAGTATTAGAGATGGTTGTCTTATACTCTGTGTATATATTGTAAATATACTGCAAACAAAGATTAATGCCCTCAGGCTGAGTGAAGGCTGGCCTTGTTGCTGTCTTTATTTGGCAAGCCAGAGCTCAAGGCAATGTGCTGGGGTGAAGGAATTTTTCCTTCTGAGCCTGAATTATTTTGCAGAAGTCTCTCCAGAAACCTTCTCCTTGGTGTCCTGTCAATGTGTAACAACTCTGCAGGTGGTCGTGGTGGACACAGTATGTCTTTCTAAGCCCCAACAGTTTATCTGTGTCTACATGGTTTAGAATTCAGCAAGGGAGAGGCTTCTGTTATAACAAATAAATATCAACTTTATTGGATAACATTTAGCAAGAAAGTAGTTTAGGTAGAATTGTTCAAACATGGTATGATTACATTTATATAACCATTATACACATATCTCAGTTTCCTCTTCACAATCTCCAATACACTTTCTCTCCCTGTCAGTATCCTTCTCTGACAGTACTGAGACTCTTTGTCTTTCTGACTTTCTCTGGGCCCAGTCAGATCCCCTATCTGACCCTCTCCCTAGAACTCTCACTCAAGAGCCCTGAACACAAACCTCCCCTCAACTCAATTCCCGTAAATTATAGCTGCAGAGCTTCAAAGCTCTAGAATTGTGTGAAAAACTAGGAAGGAGGATTAGAAAGACTGACAGGGGGAGAGGAAAAGTGGGCAGGAGGAGACACTGATACAATGTGACTGGCAATCCTGCAACTGCCTTAGGTATCACTTTTTGCACCTGGGATATTGTGGGATTGCCAGTTCATTCATGGGCTTCTCCCGCAAATAAAAAGGGATGAGTGGGGGACAGGGCAGATAAGATGTCATAATGTGATCAGTATGGCCAAAGCTGCTTTCCTCCTTGGGAAATCATAGAATCATAG